ATCTGTTTGGCCACAGCTAAAATGAACCCTTAAAATGCACTTTTTCCAACCCGTATTCTAGTTTTGCAGTTTGCGATTTTAAGGGGTTTGCTAGAGATGGAGAGCGACAATAAGGCAATTACCGCTAGAGATGCTCTTATTTAGTTATAGTTCCAGCTAGACTCTATATATATTCATGTAATACCAGGAGATTTGATGCAGTCATCTTTTTGTTTCCTTTTTTGTGGGTGGATCCCATGCAATCACCTGATTGATTCCCTTCTAGTGTTGGTCGATAGATTTCCTTATATTTACAATCCTATCAAGTAAATGTTAGCTCATTTCCTGCCTTTGACATTAATTGTTTGGAAAGAACAATTATCTTAAAAAAATAACGCTATGGTGCGTGGAAAGGTTAATGTCAAGAGAATTATTGTAACATATATAGGCGGATGCAACATGTTTCACAAGTTAGATTGTGTTCCAATTGTTGGCAGCTAGTTGCCAACACCCACAGGTGGTAGGTTCAAATCCCATGCAAGGTTTTTTATTTATTTATCAATACGACTCCTTCCGTTCACTTTTGACCTTTAGATATTTATAAGATAACACATAAAACAGTTCAACTTCAGTTGTCCTAAACGACTAACAAAAGTGAATGGAGGGAGTAGTTGAAGATTCATACTGACTCGACCAATGAACCAAGAAGCAGTGTCACCCTAACATTTCCCACTTTGGTTTTTTCGAGGGTACGCCAGTGGCGTATCTTAGCTTTATAGAAGAGAGAAATATATGTACAAGAGATTACAATTGTGCTAGTTAGGAGTCACAAGCTGACCCTAACCGAGCCTCCACCACACTCCCACACTCTACTTGACTACTCGGATACTAGTTGTCCTCCAAATGCTTCTGCCATGGCCCAAGTCCTCAAATCATCAAAGATCGTGTCCACCGTATCGCCCTCGTTCTTGGTCTGGCTTGATCCAAAGACCCTCGCGTTCCTTTGTTTCCAAAGTGTCCAGCATATTAGCATCACGAACGTGTCGAACCCTTTCCGAGTTTGCTTGTGAATTTGTTTCCTAGCTTCCGTCCACCATTGCACTAGCCTAGAGTAATTTGCAGGGCAAAGCTCGATCCTCAAACCCATTCTGGCAATGCAACGAAACCACACTTGCCGTGAGAACATGCACTACTGCAAAATGTGGTCCACCATGTCCTCCTCCTGGTCGCATAAGTAGCATCTAGATGTTTGGTCTTGCAACCCATGTCTCGTCCTTCTATCCGACGTCCACAGTCGGTATTGTACTGCCAACCACATGAAGATCTTACACGCAAGTGGGGCCCAACATTTCCAGATGGCTCCGAATGAGTGAAATCTCACTCCTCCCTCACAAAGCATCTTGTATGCTGATGATGCCGTGTAGGCTCCTGATTCGTTCCAAGCCCAAATGGGTCGGTCCTCCAACTGTTCATCCAATTGAACCTCGGAGATGATTTCCCAAAGCCCGATGAACTGGGTCAAACCTTCCGTGCATAGGTTACCTACTACGTCGTTCATCCAAGCATGCATGCCCAACGCATCACATACCAACCTCCTATTGGCCACTTGCGTGCGAACCGTTGCCAGAACCAAGGGGGCAATCTCTGATATTATCGCACCTTGCAGCCATCGATCTTTCCAAAACAAGATTTTGTCTCCCGTGCCAACCTTCCATTTGACTAGACTCCCAAAGGCTTGGGCTACCTTTTTGTCCGCCGCCAAATTAAGCCCCTGCCAAGGCCTGGACGCGTCTGTCCGTCAGAGCCATTCCCATCTTAATCTTAAAGTCAGGCCATGTTTATATAGGTCAATGACTCCCAATCCTCCCATGTGTTTTGGCCTACACACCTTGGCCCAGGACACCACACATTTTCCACCGCTCACTTCCTCTGTCCCGGCCCAAAAGAATGCCCGACAGCCTTTGTCCACTCTTTCAAGAGACCATTTTGGTGCCTCCGCAATCATGAGATGATGAGTGGCTTGTGCCCTCATGACTTGATTGACGAGGATCATCCTCCCAGGTCTTGTCACCAATCCCCTTTGCCATCCTGGCAAGATGTGTAGGGCCGCATCGACCACCGGCTGCCACTCGGATCTTTTAACTTGTCTTATGCTAAGCTGGATCCCAAGGTATTTGCACGGGAAGGTGGCGATCTTCCAATGGTAGGGCCGACTTTACAAGCTCCTCGTCCTCGGTCTTTGCCCGGATCATACTTGCCGCAGATTTGGCAAAGTTCACTTTAAGACCAGATGCCACTCCGAAGATGGTGAAGGTTTCAGAAGATCTGGCCAAGTTGGTTTGATGAATAGCACCACATCATCTGCGTATAAGGATAGACGCTGCATCGGGCTGCACCCATTGATGGTACTCAGTACACGATCCTCGTGCGCCTTCACAATGATAGCCGCGAGGACGTCCATGGTAATTACGAAAAGCAAAGGGGAGATCGAGTCCCCTTGCCTCAGGCCTTTAGCGTGCATGAACTTGTCTCCTGCACATCCATTTACAAGCACTCTTGAGCTGGCAATGGTAAGAAGTGTTGCTATCCAAGATATCCAACGCTCCGAGAATCCTTTAGCTCTCAACACTTCGAACAAGAATGTCCATGCCAGGGAGTCAAAGGCTTAGTTATGTCTAACTTGAGCATAACTCCTTTCGCTTTCCTTCGATGCAATGAGCGTGCCATTTGCCTTACTAGAAGAAAATTATCATGCAAGCAACGCCCCTTAATGAAAGCGGACTGGTTCACCTGTACAAGCTCTCCCATACGTGGCTTGAGCCTAGAAGTCAGGAGTTTAGATGCGATCTTAGGCATGCTGTGTAGGAGGCAGATAGGTCGAAAGTCGAATACACTGCATGCTTCCGGAGACTTCGGCAAGAGGGTGATCAGAGTTTGGTTTAGTCTGCCGAATCCCCTTCCATTTCCAAGAAAGAGCTTGTGAATCACCGCCACCAGATCACCCTTAATCACCTCCAAAGCATTCTGAAAAAACAGACCTATGAACCCGTCCGGCCCTGGTGCCTTGTCCGAGGGTAGATCCTTTATCACCGCCCAAATCTCGTGCTCCATGAACACCGCATCCTGCTCCGAGAGGTCAACATGCTCAATCCCCAGTCTGTCCAAATCTAGAGTGAATTCACGTGCCTCATCCTTGCCTAACAAGTCTTTGTAGGCCGTGTAGAAGGCCTCCTCCTTGCCTTTCTGATCCGTGATAATACGCCCATCCATGGTCAAGGAAGGTATATAGTTCTTCATACGTCTCCCATTAGCTACCAAGTGAAATAGCCGCGTGTTTGCATCGCCTTCTTGAAGCCATGTTATTCTCGATCTTTGTCCGGCAATGGTCCTCTCTAGGGATGCCAGTCCTAGCACCAGATGATGTTTAAGTGTTCTTCTGAGCCATCTCTCCTCCTCTGTAAGCAGACGGTTTTCCTGAGCACAGTCGAACCGCATGATGACTATATTAGCGATGGCAATTTGCAGCTTGATATTGCCTATCTCCTTTTGGCCCCAAGTGGCAAGTGCTCTAGCCGTGTTCCGAAGCATAATATCCAGACGCATGAAGGGGTCTGAAATACTAGGGTCGCACTTCCAAGCCTCCTTAACGATGTCCAAGAAGCCATCCGTTTTAACCCAGAATTTCTCGAATCGGAACCTCCTCCTCACCTGCATCGGCTCTTAAAGCGTTAGGTGCAACGGGCAGTGGTCCGATTACTCGGTGGATAAGGCTTGCAACAAGCAATCCGGGTGTTCTAGCTTCCAATCCACGGAGACAAACGCACGATCAATCTTGGTGAGTGTGGACGTCTCCCTTTCGTTGCTCCACGTGAATCTGCGGCCATGGAAGAATAGCTCCTTGAGAGCGTTGTTGTCCACAAAACGCTTGAACTTCCCCATCATTCTCCGGTCCAAGTTGGCGTTATTCTTGTCTTCCGCGTGCAGGATAAGATTGAAGTCGCCAATGACAATCCATGGTCCTGGGCTTAACGATCTACGCTCCAAAATCTCATTTAGGAAGTTGATCTTGTGCTCGTCCTCCTGCGGCCCATAGCGTCCCCTCCTTGAGCGAGACGTACCCGGTGACGCAATGGGAATCATTGACAAAATTCGTCAAAAACGCCCTCGTGGTGTTCCAAGCCACGAAAATGCCTCCTCTAGTGTCAGACGCCGACAAATAAGTGAAACCATCATAGTTCGGACCCATGCATTGCAAGATTACATAAATGTCCACCACCTCTAATTTAGTTTCTAGAATACAAACGATCGCCGCACGAATCCTGTAAGCGCCTTCCTCTTAGCCGGACTGTTAAGACCTCTAACATTCCAGCACACTAACATTTCCCACTTTGTTAAGATGAAGAAATCAGTCGCGGCGCAACGCATCCTGCCTCACTTGCCAATTCTTCCGGCTTTAATCAATTAACCAAGAAGCAGTGTCACCCTAACACTATCTACTAATCTCTTTATGTCTCACTTGTCAATTCTTCCGGCTTTAATCAACAAACTAGCCAAGAACACAACACCGACACATTATGAGCAGTTAAAACTTCCACACCGACACATTATGAGCAGTTAAAACTTCCACAGAAACCTCAATCAGCAAAGTTCTCAGTAGAATCTTACTGGGACTAAATGGGTTTGACCAGACAACTACATCTGCTAAAACCAGTGCTTCCAACACATGACAGTGCAGTAGAGGATAATGCGAGCGATTGCACACGTCTGCAGTTGGTGTTACGTTTCCGCCGGCCGGTGACTCATTTCGCAAAAATAAAAGAAAGATAATACTTATGATCCAAGCAAACACCGATACAACGCCGGCTACATAAATCGATCCAAGTTCAGGATTACATCAACACTGACATCCATCCAAAGTTCCCCCTCTCCAAAATCTAAAAACGACGACACTTCACAAACTTAACACTCCAGAGTTCACACATTTGTACTCTCCCAGCCGCCAAATCACCACGGCCAGCAGCTTAATCGACCTCCTCGATCTTGGGCCCCGCACCGCTTCCCCCGGCCGGCGCATCCTCATCCATGCCGGCGGCACCGCCCATGCCTCCCATGTCGGCGCCAGCGCCCTGGTACATCTTGGCGATGATGGGGTTGCAGACGCCCTCCAGTTCCTTCATCTTGTCCTCGAACTCGTCCGCCTCCGCGAGCTGGTTGGTGTCGAGCCAGCTGATGGCGCCGTCGATGGCGTCCTCGATCTTCTTCTTGTCGTCGGCGGGGAGCTTGGACGCGATCTTGTCGTCCTTGACGGTGTTCCTCATGTTGTAGGCGTAGTTCTCCAGCGCGTTCTTGGCCTCCACCTTCTTCTTCAGCTCCTCGTCCTCGGCCTTGTACCGCTCCGCCTCCTGCACCATCTTCTCGATGTCCTCCTTGCTCAGCCGCCCCTTGTCGTTGGTGATGGTGATCTTGTTCTTCACGCCGGCGGTCTTGTCCTCGGCCGACACGTTCAGGATGCCGTTGGCGTCGATGTCGAAGCAGACGGTGATCTGGGGCACGCCGCGGGGGGCCGGGGGGATGCCGGACAGCTCGAACTTGCCCAGCAGGTTGTTGTCCTTGGTCCGCGCGCGCTCGCCCTCGAACACCTGGATCAGGACGCCCGGCTGGTTGTTCGAGTAGGTGGAGAATATCTGCTCCTTCTTGGTCGGGATGGTGGTGTTCCGCGGGATGAGCGTCGTCATCACGCCGCCGGCGGTCTCCAGGCCGAGGGACAGCGGCGTGACGTCGAGCAGGAGCAGGTCCTGCACCTTCTCGTTGCCCTCGCCGCTGAGGATGGCGGCCTGCACGGCGGCGCCGTAGGCCACGGCCTCGTCGGGGTTGATGCTCTTGCACAGCTCCTTGCCGTTGAAGAAGTCCTGGAGCAGCTGCTGCACCTTGGGGATGCGGGTGGATCCGCCGACGAGCACGACGTCGTGCACGGTGCTCTTGTCCATCTTGGCGTCGCGCAGGCACTTCTCCACGGGCTCCATGCACTTGCGGAACAGGTCCATGTTGAGCTCCTCGAACCGAGCCCTGGTGATGGTCGAGTAGAAGTCGACGCCCTCGTACAGGGAGTCGATCTCGATGGTGGTCTGGGCGGTCGACGACAGGGTGCGCTTGGCGCGCTCGCAGGCCGTGCGCAGCCGGCGCAGCGCGCGAGGGTTGCCGCTGATGTCCTCTTGTGCTTGCGCTTGAACTCCTGGACGAAGTGGTTCACCATGCGGTTGTCGAAGTCCTCGCCGCCGAGGTGGGTGTCGCCGGCGGTGGCCTTCACCTCGAAGATGCCCTCCTCGATGGTGAGCAGCGACACATCGAACGTGCCGCCACCGAGGTCGAAGATGAGCACGTTCTTTTCGCCAGAGCTGCTGGCCTTCTTGTCAAGGCCGTAGGCAATGGCGGCGGCAGTGGGCTCGTTGATGATGCGCATCACATTGAGGCCGGCGATGACCCCGGCGTCCTTGGTGGCCTGACGCTGCGAGTCGTTGAAGTAGGCCGGCACCGTGACGACGGCGTTCTTGATGGTGGTGCCGAGGTAGGCCTCACCGATCTCCTTCATCTTGATGAGCACCATCGAGGAGATCTCCTCGGCGGCGAACTGCTTCTCCTCGCCCTTGTACTGGACGACGATCATCGGTTTGTCAGCAGGGCCGGGGATGACCTTGAACGGCCACAGCTTCATGTCGCTCTGCACCGACGGGTCGGTGAACCGCCTGCCGATCAACCGCTTGGCATCTGCGATGGAGATGGAGCAGGAATGTCAGTCAAACTGTTCGACTGGATAATTGACGCTCAAACTCATAACAAAAGCAAACAAGCAGAGCAGCAGTAGAGCTTTGACAAGTCAAGGAACTGTTTAAAAGTCCCAAACAAGAAACCGAAATTTACCCCCAAACAAATTGTTCAGCTAACCCAGCAAGTTATCTTCCTTCCCATTGTTCAGCACAGAAATCTTAATCAGCAATTTTTTACAGAATCTCGCTGGAACTAAGCGGATTTTAATTCTAGATCAGATTGATTGCATATATTTCCGCCGGTTCTTCGAATACATGAGAATGCAGAATTGGACGACGCCAACTTGGCTCTACATTCCTTTGCTACTCGTTAAGCTCAGTGAACAAACAAATTTAGAAAACAAAATTCAGACTACATACTACAATGATCTGCATTGCGGTACATAATCGCATAAAAAACGCATACACGCACATAATCGAGCACAGCATCAACCGTAGCAGTACAAGCACGAACACGAGATGATCCATCTAAGCTAGAAGAAGAGGAGCGGTGCAGGAGGACGTACCGAAGACGGTGTTGGTGGGGTTCATGGCGACCTGGTTCTTGGCGGCGTCGCCGATGAGGCGCTCGGTGTCGGTGAAGCCAACGTAGGAGGGCGTGGTGCGGTTGCCCTGGTCATTGGCGATGATCTCCACTCGGTCGTGCTGCCACACGCCGACGCACGAGTAGGTGGTGCCCAGGTCGATGCCGATCGCTGGGCCCTCTCCTCCATTCTTCGCCATCTCCTCTCTAAGCTTGAATGGGGAAACGGAAACTCGAAGGCGAAATCGGAGCTAAGAACTCTACAGATCTGAGAGAAATCGCTTGCTTGCTTGCGAGTTGGGAATCGCGATGGAACTGATGTGGGGAGGGACGAACGGGGGGCGCGAACGATATTGTAGATCAGCCCTACATTTGCCCATTATTGTAGATCAGCCCTACATTTGCCACAACGATATTCTTCACTATTTGTATTCTAGCCATAGTTTAAAAAACCCGGACCGAACCGGCGGTCGAACCGGAAAAAAGGGAACCGGCGGCCTCAGCTGTTTTCTAAGCTAATAAGACTGTTTTGCAATCAGACCGGAGAAAACCGATCGAACCGGCTGGTTTTCTGGAAAGCCGGTGAAAAAACCGGGCCATTGAACCACGAAAAACCAAGAAAATGTTTTAATAAAAATTGGGAAAGTGGGATTCAATTCCATGTCGTGTGAGCAGTACGCGGGACCTCCTCACGGCCCAATAACCAACTCGGATGTGCTACTTTGTTGTCCACTGCATGGAAATAATTTTATTTGACCATTGTTTCACACTATATTAGCGCATATATTACTCAACATATATTATTTTATTGCTTAAAAAACCGACAATCGAACCGATGAACCAGCGGTCCTATCGGTAAAAACCTGAACCGACAACTTTTCCGGTTCGATTTCCGGTCGATTTTTTAAACTATGATTCTAGCAAGCATTCGTACTCTTTGATACTATCACATTTGCTTGAGTTGCTACTGCTGCTGTTGCTACTACTGTTGTTACCCTACTATTATTGCTATCACTATGCTAATAATAACTTTTCGTATCAGCCAAGTAGTTGGCTTGTTTTTCTCTTTGTCGCTCTGAGGAACTGTCTCCTGGGAAGTGGGTTTGGCTGTACTATTTTGTCGTATTGGTGTTAGCTGGTTTTAGCCCTAGAATTGGAGTTTCGAATGTGAGCTCCAAGTGGCAGGTTTCCAGCTAGTGCTCCAACTCACTTTCTCCCCTCTACCTTATTCTCCTAGTCATGGTGTAGTCGCTACTTTAGGTTATGGTAACAAACTTTGTATTTTTGTTAAGAAATTAATGGAAAGGGGGAAAGGCCCGTTTGGAAAAAAAATTGGTGCAAGGAAGTGATTCTCGGGTGTGGTTGAATCGATAAGTCAGCTGGTAAGGCTTATAAATATTCTTCGGCTTCCCTTATGTCGAATCAATATATTTGGGATAAAATACTACTCCCGAAGACTGTTGCGATCCCCTATACTTCTGGGTCATCGGGAGCATGGTAGCATGCATCGTTGAGGGCCGAGATGCACACACACGTTTAGAGCCAGGCCGAAGGGTGAGTAGTCATGCACATGCCATGTGAAGCATGAACCGCCAATGAGGTATTTTGTCACTTGGTAAAGTGCTCAAGACATGTGCCTATGGAAAACATAGCAGATGTGACCTCATGAGACACCGATGCAAAGGTGGATGTGAGCATGGATAGGACGCCAACGTCAGAGGTAGGGGTCAGAAATCAATAGCCTTGGCGGTTGATGTCTGCTACACAACATTCTTCTTGTAGACTTGTGTTGGGCCTCCAAGCGCAGAATTTTGTAGGACAGTAGCAAATTTCCCTCAAGTGCATGACCTAAGGTTTATCAATCCATGGGAGGCGTAGGATGAAGATGATCTCTCTCAAACAACCTTGCAACCAAATAACGAAGAGTCTCTTGTGGTCCCCAACACACCCAATACAATGGTATATTGTATAGGTGCACTAGTTCAACGAAGAGATGGTGATACAAGTGTAATATGGATAGTAGATATAGTCTTTTGTAATCTAAAAATATAAAAACAGCAAGATAGCAAGTAACAAAAGTGAGCAAAATGGTATTGCAATGCTCGGAAATAAGGCCTAGGGTTCATACTTTCTCTAGTGCAAGTTTTCTCAACAATGATAACATAATTAGATCATATGGCAAACCCTCAACGTGCGATAAAAGTCACTCCACAGTTCCTATCGCGGAGAACATAAGATGAAATTGCTTGTAGGGTTAATCCATTGAGCTATTCCTATAAGTGTCACAAACAACCCTAGAGTTCATAGTAAAATAACACCATATGATACACATCAATCAACCCTAATGTCACCTAGATACTCCAATGTCACCACAAGTAACCGTGGGTCAATTATACGATATGCATCAAACAACTTCAGATTCATAATATTCAACCCAACACGAAGAACCTTAAAGAGTGCCCCAAGATTCCTACCAGAGAAACAAGGACAAAAACGTGCATCAACCCCTATGCATAGATTACGCCAATGTCACCTCGAGAATCAGTGAGTTGGGTGCCAAAACATACATCAAGTGAATCAATAAAACACCCCATTGTCACCACGGGTATCCTACGCAAGACATACATCAAGTGTTCTCAAATCCGCAATAGTATTCAATCCGATAATAGTGAAACCTCAAAGGTAAAACTCAATTCATCAGAAGAAGGTAGAGGTGGAGAAACACCATATGATCCAACTATAATAACAAAGCTCCCGGTACATCAAGATCGTGCCATATCAAGAATACGAGTGAGAGAGGGAGAGGTCAAACACATAGCTACTGGTACATACCCTCAGCCCCGAGGGTGAACTACTCCCTCCTCTTCATGGAGAGCACCGGGATGATGAAGACGACCATCGGTGATGGTTTACCCCTCCGGCAGGGTGCCAGAACGGGCTCCCGATTGTTTTTTCATTGCTACAGAGGCTTGCCGCGGCGGAACTCCCGATCTAGGTTTCTTTCTGGGGGTTTCTGGATTTATAAGAATTTTTGGCGTCGGTTTCACGTCAGGGAGGGTCCACGAGTCAGCGACAAGGCAGGGGGGCGCGCCCTAGGGGGGTGGGCACGTCCTCCATCCTTGTTGTTGACTCGGGACTCTTCTGGCCCAACTCTTGTGCTTCGAGGGCTTCTTCTGGTCCATAAAAAATCACCGTAAATTTCAGCTCGTTTGGACTCCGTTTGATATTCCTTTTCTCCAAAACTCAAAAACAAGGAAAAACAGAAACTGACACTGGGCTCTAGGTTAATAGGTTAGTCCCAAAAATAATATAAAATAACATATTAATGCTTATAAAACATCCAAAACAGATAATATAATAGCATGGAACAATCAAAAAGTATAGATACATTGGAGACGTATCAAGCATCTCCAAGCTTAATTCATGCTCGTCCTCGAGTAGGTAAATGATAAAAACACAATTTTTCATGTGGAATGCTACCTAGCATATTTTCCAATGTAATCTTCTCTATTGTGGCAAGAATATTCAGATCCATAAGATTTAAAACAAAAGTTTAATATTGACATAAAAATGATAATACTTTAAGCATACTAATAAAGAAAATCATGTCTTCTCAAACTAACATAGCCAAAGCAAGCTATCCCTACAAAATCATATAGTCTGGCTATGCTCCATTTTCATCACACAAAATATTCAA